GGAAAGAGATCACTGGTTTCAATCAGCATTCAAAGAGAATACAAATAACAGTTTAATATTCTGACAGAGCTACTTTGGTTTTGTTCTCCGAGTCATTTTCAGATCTCCCAAAATGCTTTGCACTTCTAAAGATGCAGGCTGGATGCCCTAATGACTCTTTCTCATTAGACCATTATCACTCATTGCATTTGCCCTTTCAAAGAATAGCTAGAAAGGAAGTAGGATCATTATTTCGTTAGCTTCTCTAAAGCTTTCTTTATTATCATGACAGCCACCACTGGCTTCACAGAAATGTCTCAAAGGATATCACAATAATATACTCTATTTCCACAGCACTTTCCCATCCAAAGAATCTGAAGCTTTTGTCTCGTGTTAATCCATTCAGACTAACAAAGTCCCAAGGGCCATACTGGGTAACACTATCTCTATTCTAGAGGTGAAGAAACTGAAAGCTTGCATAGGTAACAGTTCATTTTTTCCAAAAGCAGACATCTACAATTAGCCATTTCAGCTTCTATAATGGTCTAGTATATGGCTCGATACTGAAACCCACTAAACTCCTACCATTAATCTGCCTAATTTGAAAACAAGTATTTACAAATATACATATGTGCGTGTGTGTATATATATATACAAGAAGTTTCTGCCTAATTTTAGCAACCCAAGCCTGAACATTTGAAGAGATGTGACCCAAAGGTGGAACAGAACAGTTCTGGCTCAGCTTTTCATCTTAACTTGAATCCTCCTCCTTTATTAATTACTTATCTTTGCAGGCAAAGACTTCTAAGTGCAGATTAACTAGCCTACATGTCCTTACAGTTGCTTGACCGTACAAGCAAGCCTGGGTGCTGAGTTTTCTCCCATTCATCTGGTCAGAATAGGATCCCCTTCGAAACACATTACTGAAGGACTGGAGGGGAAGAAAGGTTGTAGTTATATCAAAATGACAAAAGACTCAGTGATGCAAAAGACCCTTTCCATGAGTCACACCCCCAAATGCCTGTTTTAACTTTGGTTAGGCCTTTTATGGCCAATTGATCCTGCCTAGCTGGTTCTACTCTAGGTTGCTCCATTGAAGCCATCACTTGGGTCTCGTCATCTTGGAATGCTTTAACTGCCTTCAGCCTCAAGTTGGTATTTGCTGATTACTTCCAACCATACACACACACTTGTATACATAAAAGTCTTATTAACAATGCTTTCATACAAAAAATTGTTGCACCTCGTTACACTGCTGGTAGCACAGAAACTGTTACAATGTGGAATGGGCTCTGGCTATATACAAAACCTGTAAAAGCTTGGTCCATGTATTTTTGTCCCACATGTCCTTATACATTGACCTTACAGCATTTCACTGTGCCCTCTATCCTGCCTTCCATCCTACAAAACAAGCTACTGGCAATACCACAAGAAAGGCTGCACAGTGAAAAGCAGTAAAACTCAAGGGATAGTCCAGTCTTCAGTGGAACTTTGTCTACTCCAATGCAGCTTTTTGGGTTTCATAACCAGCAGTTCCTACCAGACATGAGGAAGAATCTCTTTGCTAGTCTTGGTTAACATAAAGAAAGACTTAGTCCAGTGCAACTCAAGTGTCATATTCATATAACCAAATAAATATGGGCTTTCCCTGAACAGGCTGTGACACCAAATTCTACATATTCCCGTTGCAAAAGTAAAGTTTATAATGAAGTTAGTTTACTGGGAGACTATAAATTCTTCTATAATCGTATTCTATTACAAACATTTGGGAAGAAAAATCACTTGCTAGATTCCACTGCCTTCTCTTTACGAAACCTGATCATAACTCAGTGCACTGAGAGCTAACAAAATCCATCTTGTTCCAATAGGTCTGAGCCTGAGCTTCCCTGAATCTGATAAACTGGCCTGAGCCAGCAGACTTTGATATTGTGGTAAGACTTGCTGATCCCAGAGATATGAAGTAGAGGTGTGGAGAGACTGAAGACTGCCATGTGAATAGCTTTTAGAGGAGTCCTCTCTCAGATGGTTTCCATTTCAGGGCTCTGTCAGGCAGAGAAAGGAGTTTGTTCGTTCGCAGTCTCAGCTACTCAGCTATGGAGATAGGTTATAAAATATGAATCAGTCTTTCAGGAGAAAAAGAGCTGCACATGCTGGCAACGGATGGCTAGGAAGGACAAGTCAACCTCCTGGAGCATGTATGCCACACTCTCCTGTCAGGGTGTTTCTTCTCTGCATCTGTGATTCTCCTCAACTGTGTGTGGAGAAGGAGCAGGTTTATATTCTCAGTCTTTACCTAAGATACTAAAGCTTATGCATTCATCTCCAGATCAGAGTCCCACTGCACGCACAGACCTGCAGCCCCACATGAGAACTGCATGGGAGCACAGCTCTGCTTAAATGAGCAGGAGAACATCCCAATTCCCTCTGAGCTTCAGAGAGCACCGGGACACACACAGCCCAGATTAACATTTGCTTCTCTTTTCATGTACCTGCAAACTGTCTGCCTGCAGTGTGCCTGTCTCCCCATGCCCCCCTCAACAACTTCTTGTTTTTACCCATTGGCCAATTTTCTCCCAGTCTGACAGAAAAACAGAAATCCAATAGGAACAAAGTTTCTACAAGTTTCATGAAAACCAGCAAACAGCAAAAGGAGAGCAAACTTACTAGTGCTCAGAGAAAAAATGCTGCATGAAACCAACCCCCATGAGACATGAGCACAAGCATATCTCTCTGAACATCCAGCTGCAGGAAAACATTCAAACACATCTCACATATTAAGACACTACAAAGAAGCCAAATACACAACACAAGAATTTCAGGTTGGCAAACTTCCATTGCTTGCGAAACAATTTGTTCCCATCTCTCCCTTCCCCTTCTTGCCCCTCAAATTACCCTCCCTGAGATAAAGGCCTTTCTGAAGCTATGAGACACTGAGGAGAGACCCCTCCTGAGTCAGGGTCCAGCTTGACCACCCCTGGTGGTAGTTCCCCTTCGGCCAGCTATCTTGACAACCATAAGTGGTTCTGGACCCAGCCAAAAGCTGGCTCAGCACTAACCCTACCACAATGCTTTGCACCAAATGGCTAAATGGGTTCTTCCTGGAGCACAGAGTCCTAAATGAGGAACCAGGCCAACCGTACAATAATTACTGCGCCACATGGGAAGCTGGTCCCCATCTCTTACAGGCAGGGCAGAGGGCTGCTCCTCTTCAAAAGGATATCAGTCTCTGAACTCTTCAAGGTTATTCTTTTTCTCCCTTGTTGAGCATTTTAGACTAGCTCCTGGCTTTTGGTGACTATGGCTGTTGGTGGCTGAACATTCTCCACTCCTCAGGTCTTTTTCATATCTATATACAACAGAGAAGCACCCTTTCCTCTCTGAGGGCTGCTTATGAGCCCAGACAAAGCCAGAACCTGCCTTGGGTGGTCAGATGCCAGTGACAGAAACACACAGCTGGCCCTGCAGCTAATCCAGCCCCAGCTGGAGCCCTGGAAAGGCAGGGTGGCTGCTGCCACTGCCAAGGTAGGGCATGGGTGCAAGTCTAGCAATGCTCCCCAAGGAGCAGCTCCCTGGGCTTTCCCCTGTCTCTCCAGGACTATTTCATTCCCTACCTCAAGGCAACCAGGGGAACCCCGGTCCAGTTCCCAGGCTGTGATAATTCACTTACAATGAGGCAGT